ATATATATATACTTGTATAAAGAAATAATAATGGGTTCCAACACAGGAGTGAGTGGATTTTGGATTCCTCCAGAAGTCGAAATTTGTGAAATTCGAATATTGTTATAGTGACTGCATTAAGCTTTCAAAACAATCTGATACTACGTTGAAAACAAACTGAATATATATACTTGTACAATGGAGCTTTCATTTAGTATCTGTATATAATTGAAGAAGAAATATGTGGTAGACTCCATTAAAAATAATAATGATGCCTAGTTGTTGTTGTCAAGTGCAAGTGGATTTGTATAATTATGCATTCATTAAACAACATTTGTTTCCGTAAATGGTTCTATATTGGCCTCCGACACAGATCGAGATACAAGGAGAGAAAAAGAGGTCCGTCATGTTAGGAGCGGGATCAATTCAAGAGCCGGTGGGAGACTAATTCAAGAGGAAAAATTGCCCTAGGCAAATTGCCCTAGTATAAGAATACATTTTATGATTAGAGACCAAACCAAAGCTGCTAAAAAACAATACAACTGGGTCCCAAAAGTGGTCTTTAATCGGAAGGCCTAGGTAGGCCTAGACCTCTTATGTGAGTCATTGGTTTGGCATCATGGCTGTCAACAATTAACATAACAATACTATAGTACCTAAATAGTAAACAGGGAATTTCCTATAAAAATATCCAGTTCATATAAATAGAAATTGTGTGACGTAGTGGGAGTACGTTTGTTTGATTAACACCCCGAGTGTAAAATAACAAACCTATAGGCTGAGTAAGTGAACTCGTTTAAAAACTGAAATTCATAAATAAGAAACAATAAAATTACGGATTACGAAATTTTGTCGTTTTTGATCAACTGATGACCCGGCAATAACCAATTTATTTATAATGAATGTAATCCATACGCACGGTTTAATGCTTTTGCAGATATTCAATTCAATGAATGAACTCTGACAAAAGACAAAACGTCAACGCCTGTTGCGGTTTTTAGTGAACATCGTATATACAACTGCTATTTGAATAAAAACAATGTCGTTTTAATGTTTATGATTGCTGTCACGGTACAGGGGCGGATCCAGGGATCAGAAAGGAGGCCGAAATGGGCCGATCGAGACAACCCTAACAACTCCCTGACTACCCAGGGCGAAATGTTTGTTTTCTAGACGCCCGAAAATAACCCAAAACCCAAAATAACATCTGAGGCGTTTTGGGCGATCAATTATTATTATTATTATTATTATTTTTTTTTTTTGTAACTTCAAAAAGGGGAAGTGGGTTAATGCCACATACCTAATTAATTCAATGAATGGACTCGCGACAACACCTGTGTAACGGTTTTACAGACTTGATACTATAAAAGCAATGTCATTAATGTTTACGATTGCTGTCCTGTTGTTAAACGTTAATCGTGTATAAAATTATCAAAACTAGGCCTATACACACGACAGATGAAGCATGTCATTATCAACCTTTAACACGCCTATTCAAACACACAAACAGAGAATATTTACCCTTTATATCCTATCGGCCGCGGGACGGGATGCCAACGAACGTGCCGTCTCAATTATTCTATTACAACACCTATTATATAATTATAACAATAATATATTCTCGAATGTATTATTAGAGGGCGAGGCCGCTTAACTTCTATTTTTAATCAGCTGAAAATTCCCATTCCGGCCGGTTCCTAGTCATACTTATTACACAAATGGCGGCATCAGACTAGTTCTACAATGACATGCACAATACCCTGTATTTTAATGAAACCCGCGGCTGCGCCGTTGTGACCAAAACGCCGAGGCGTCTGATAAATATCGCTGTATGAGGTCGACTGAATGACATTTAGGTTCCCTGATTTAGGGGTGTAGTGGCGGATTAGGATTAGGCTCCTATTAATATTTTGATTCACTGTCAACTCCCTGAACTTAATCTGATCTTATCAGGACTTATCAGGTATAGAAACACTTTTGTGTTCGGGGTCCAGAGGCCGAAGGCCCTGGAAAATTTGCTTTCTTACGTCCTAATAGACTAATTTGAAGGCATTTTATCATGTTAATCTCTATATGTCCGTGAACACAGCGATAGGGCCTATCCAAAAATTACCAGTGGAGGACATGGAGAAACAAGCAAATTGTTTCCCAAATGAAAAATACTACTGTATAAATTCTTAACCATTACGAAAAAAATTCAAAGTCAATTCTGCTTTTAAATGAATAATAGCAAAGTTTGATATAAAGAGTGGATTAAAAGCGACTGTAAATGAGCTGATTCAAACAACTAGAAGCATTTGAAACAAATTAATCAACATTTTTATTCTTGGCATCGACAGAAAACATATACAGAGGTATAAGCATAATTATTACTGTATGTATACGCTATCTATCCATTGAACCCGTGACGGGGTATACTGTTAAAAGGATCATCATGATACGAGTAACGTTGTACGTTTTAATAGCAACATCACTTACATTTTTTATAAGAGCACATTTTATAAGAAGAATGAGTTTGTCGAAATTGCGGAAAAATTAAGAACAAAATAAGAATAAATTAAGGCTAAGTTAAAATGCAACAAGTGAGGTTTTTATTTTTTAGTAGTAGTAGAAAAACCAATAAAAGTCGAGTATACTCGTCTCAGGGTATTTCTGAGAGCGCTGGAACGATTATACTTGTCTAACCGGGGTGTCATTCTAGCATTTTGACTTCTTCATTGCTATGCACTGACATACCGGCTGGTATTTAGGGGAAGATACACCTAGACGATAACGTGCATATAACGTGTGTATGTTTGTTGTGTTATGCAGCTGGCAGTACACATTGCGCATGTGGAGTCAGCGCTCTAGTATTCTTATTGTAACTCATTTGTACATTCATACAATCTTAATACTGTACTGTCATGTGATTCTATAATGATTCTGGGAACAAGGTCACATTTTTTTTGGTTATAACTAGTGGACGTTTTTCGATTTGGAGGCCCCTGGATACGGGCCTGGGATCCAGAGATCCAGAGATGTCCGAAAGGGGGTCGAAAGTGGGGCCGATCAAGACAATAGCATGCACCGTAGGGATCCGGGGACTTTCCCGCAATTTTTTTCTAGACGCCCGATGGATCAATTAATTCTTTTTCTTCCTTCTTTCTTTTCTTTTTACTTTCTAAAAAAAGAGGGGGAGGGGACCAGGGCCGAAGCCGGTCCGCCCCTTAGAATCCGCCCCTGATAATCCTCAATTAGTGCTTCCCACCCTCGAAGCATCCTCAATCCGCAGCATCCTCAATCCGCTCGTATTTAATGAATGAAGACACAATTTATACGATATTGAACATGCTTTTGTTGAAGATAATATTTTAATTATTACGCATATTATAATGTTAACAAAATGCCTCGTAACTGAGTACAAAAGGGTTGTGTAATTGGAAATACACTCCGTGGAATTTATCCTCATATGTCTGCAGTGGACTAGTGCTAGTTCGACGGGAGGGGCATTTTTCCCCACATTCCCTTTGCTGGCGACCACTGGTGTGTACATAAACATATACTTTACATTTATATTTTATACCTATTATATATTATAATCTATAATGTTATTTAACAAGTTAATAAATGAGCACGATGCTAGTAAAGCAGTCGTACACTAGGCCTATATATTATTATTGCATTATACTCACTCATTGTGTATTGTTTGATGGTTTCTAACAATAACGGTTAGCAGTGGTACGTTAACAATTCCGAATGGATCGTTGATACACTATAATGTCACAGTATACAAACACAGCCACTGTTTATGATAAATCGAAGGCACGCTTATCGAAACCGGAATTGTAAAGCGGAATAATATATTGTTTGGCACTTGGCAGTAGCATAGATTTTCACACCAACAGCCGAACAGGAAACGTACATGTTCCTTCGACGAGCCACGGACATACATTGAGCCTACTCACGGAACCGGATGCTCCTAACTTAAAATAGACAATCAAATCCCAAGGCTACGATAGAATTTCCCATAACATATAAAATACATATGCTGTTAAAAGTTATGGTATTTTTAGATATTATGTAATGTAAATAATATTTGAGCGCCACACCCTGACGTACTTCTGTACAGTAGACCTAATTGCAGGATTACCAGTTTGTACCAGTTACAAGGTCATTTACACCAGCGAGAAGGGTCCTTAAAAAATAAATACAGTAGCCAAATCGTTTAAATTTGAGAGTATAATTCAAAATCAACGCATGATTTTAAAGGGCTGTTTTGTGTTATATCTCTCTTTGGCGCCTGGTGGGGGAATAGATATTGTTGAAAAGGGCTTCAGAGCAGGGGTGGCGCCAGTGGGAGGGGAATCAGGACTTTTCCAACCCCCCCCCCCCCCCTCCGCTCCGTCGGGGGAAAAAACACAATTCGTCGGGGAGAAAAAAAATGTATATGTATTTCTTTTTTATACTATTTGATTCCAAAATCGATTAAATAAGCCTTTGAAACCCTTAAATTGTCATATTTTCGGGGGATTTCTCCCCTTGACCAATTTTGAAAGATTTTTAGTAGGTTTTTACCGATGCCCGACCATCCCCACTGTATATATA